CCATGAAATGAGACCACCAACAGAAAGCTTCATTCTGAGGGGCTGGCTGGAGAATGTGAATCTAGGCATAGTGCCCATGGGCCACAATTGAAGACCAAATGAAATACCAAATGAAATTTGAAATCAAGTACAAAAGCCTGATTTAAGTGCTGGCTCTATGGCTGCTCCCTGAGAGATTCTGGCTGTCTCTTAACCTATTTAGGCCTCGGTTTCCTCACCATGGATGTAATGACAGCTTCTACATCAGGCGTTAGGGAGATGAAACGCTATCCATCCAGATAGCTGGTGGTTCTTGGCCTCGTGAAGAATGGTGTTCCACCATGTGGCCTTTGCACAAGAGTGTAGCTTCAACATGATTCTCAGGTTTTCAGTGGTTTCTTCTCCAAGACTCTGCGCCAAATCTTCTCACATGGTGCTCGAAGGGCTCTTTGGGTCTCTGGGCTTTTCAGCATTCTGATAAGGTCTGTACTGAACGTCTCATATGTAGGAGGGTGGTAATTACTCTTGAGAGAGGCAGCTCTACTCCAAGTGCCACGTCGATCATTTAACTTACAGAAAGCATTCCCCGTCTCAATGCGGAAACAGCCCGCATGCCCCCGGGAGCAAGTTTAAAAATGTTCATTTTGCTTACATTAAGCAGAGTAATCCCAGGACGTTTCGGAAGGCTTTGATGATGCCGTTGTCCTCGTTATAGAGGATGCAAGGTCCCCTGCGCTGGATATGGCGACGTTTCCCATTTTGCCCTTGCCGGCTCTCATTTGCCAGGAGGCAGAGACCTTTCTGATACCATTTCAGGCCTTCAGTTTCTTAAGCAGCAAAACAACCTCCTTGGTCTTCTTGTAGCCTTCAACTTTATCTTCAACCGCCACAGGAAGTTCAGGAACTTTCTTAATTTGATGACCTTGAGACATGACCGGTGCTAGTCAGGCCCAGGCATCCAGGGCACAGCAGATGGAATATCACTTCTGCGTTGTGTTCATTCTATGATGCCAATGGCTCCAGGTTTGGGCTGATGCAAACGTGTGGCCCCCACGGCACATACTGCCAAAAGCACCCTGGCCAGAACAATGGGTCCTGATTCCTTGACTCTGGGAATGCAAGCTACAGCTCTGCCAGCATCCCATGACTCAGCACTGGTTTGATGACCTCCTAATCCACTGAGAGCACAGGGCTGTCTATTCTTTTTGCGCAAGTTTGTGTTATCAAAGTTTATAGCATCTGGTTGAATGGGATTATTGAACACAGCAGGTGAAGTGACATTTTTGCCAGATGATTCCCCCTTTTCAGAGTATACTGATATCTGTGGACAAGCACAGGCCACAGAGGGGAGAGGAGATGGCCATTCTCCCCTCCACGTGACTGTTTCCACAGAAAAAGCTATCGTTATTGTTATTTATCCCTTTTCATAGGGTGTTCATGTACTTGGTGTGCCAAGGAGGCTTTAAAGAAATCCTATTTGAATAAATGCAAGATCCTGGGACAAGCTGACCCTCAAATGCCATACCCATATAAAAATGGGGAAACTAAGGCAAAAAAAATTAAGAAACTTGTCTAGGGTCATACAGATTAATAACAGAGTGAAAATTCACACCTAAATAGCTTCCTCTGTCTTGGTAGCTGGACACTTCCAGTATAACTCTTAGTTTCTTGGAACCATTCACACTACCCACATTTCTCCTATTATGGCAGCTCCCTTCTCAGTTTCTGTCTAAAATATCCTTTCTCCCCTTCTCAACCTAATAAACTTCTACTCAGTCTTCAAGTTTCAGCTCCAGTATTATCTCATTGGGTCCCCATGAGGCCTTTTCTATGGCCACCAGGAAAGTGGATCTCCCGCCGTTGGGCTCACATCCATCGTTGTCAACATCACACTGGACTGGGGTTTGGTTGAAGATACTGTCCTGAAGTCCATGGAAGTGCATCTGAGGGAGGTCTGTGAGTCAGACATATGGTTACACAAGTGAACACACACATGGAGACAGAAATGCACAGACACACACAGCAGAGAATTTTTATGTGACTTTTTTCCAGAATATCTTGGAGAATACAATATTTTTATGACTACCATGGCTGCTTCTGTAGACATGAACCATGTACTCGTCAGTGTTGACATGTGCCAGAACAGCCATTTACTGGTAGAAATTTTAAAATATGTGCCCTGCCATTATGATGATGAGCATCTGTCCTTGTTTACTTCAGGACTGACTTAGGTTAGACACTATCAAAGAAAATAATGAAGAAGAAACATCAAACATCTGTTGGCTTTGCTTTCCACTGGGTGCAATGGAACACCAAAGACCCAATGCTTTTGCACGGCAACATTCTTACCAATGGAAGGAGCATGAAGCAGAAAATGCTCAAGTAGCATCTCATACTTTTTGTTGCAAAAATGTATTAGTGTAGATCTTTTTCAAGAAAGAAGGCTGGAGTTGAAAAGGCAAGACTTTACCAAAATTTGGTCTGCCCTGATGTAGCAGTCTAGTCTTAAAATAGCAACAAGAAGACTGGTAAAAGCTGTGTACCCCAGAAATGGTCAAATGAGTGAGTGGTCTGAGTCGGAGGAGAAGGTTAGAGTGGTGCCCCTAAGAAATGAAATTATTTCATGATTGACTTTGTAAAATATTTGGGGCCATGTGATAGAGGAATCAGAAGCATCTTTATGTAGCCAGATGCCTTCAAAAAAGAATTTCTATTTAGCAAGCCTTTTTTGAAATTTAAAATTCATCAATATATTTTAAATAATGAGAAGTTTCTTCTGCAAACCAGACTTATTGGGGCACTTTGTGAATAGACAGAACACCTGTGGCGCTTGGTAACAGCTTACAGGAAGTATCTTTATTCAGCAAGCTTTCGGACTCATTGCTTTCAATGGTCTGCTTGTCTACAGCAAGTTGTCAACTTTGTTAATGCCAGGGCCTTGAATCATTGACTTTTCGAAATGTTTTCTCATGAAATGAAAGCAGAATAGGAACTTCTCGTTTACAAATCTGTGATACAGAAATATGCCGACAACTTGGAACTCCCCACAACTCTTTAACGTACTTCTGCTCAGACAACCTGAAAATTGAAACATGTTTCTTCGTTCTCCCTTTGCTAACGTCAACAGCATCCCCTTGCTGATGTGAAGCCAACGGAAATTAAAAGACATAACTCTAATTCAGATAGTCTTAGAATATCTTGGTGTTCCCTTGTCACAAGCCTATCATGCCATCTGTGAACATGAATTCTGTTTGCTACAACATGCTGTTGTGAGCCCAGCTTTTCAACGTTTGTTGAAAACAGAAAGTCTCTGTGAATGCGCTTATGCTGCAATGCCAAAGACCACTTGGTAATTTCAGCTGCTCATTCAAGCCAAAGGAGAGATGCCTTCTCATTGAAATTTATTTTTTAGCAAAAACAAAGTTTATTTTGAAATTTATTTGCACACTTTGGATTTTTTTCTTTCCTTTTTTTTTTTTTAGAATGTTGCCTGAAATCAATTTTGCACGTAAAATGGATTGAAAAGGCACAATTCTTTATAAAAAGTATTTTGATCCAATGCTACAAGATAAGCTGTGTACATAATTTTGTTTATAATCTTACATAAATATCTCTGGGAAGAAAAGCTCTAACGTTCGCGAGATTCCAAAAGCCTCCATGATGCCGAAAAGGTGAAGAACAATAACATGGAATTATATATACTTTGAGTTCAAGGCCATCTTGCCCACAACACCTAGAAGAGGGGCTGCACTTAATACCCAGGGATGTTGGTCATGGTTTTTCCACTTCCTAAAGGATATTGACCTCAAGTCAATATTCTAAATGAACAAGTGTATCCATTGATTTTAACTTTAAAACTGAATGCACATCTTCATTCCTTATCAAGAGAAGAAAAAGTCTTCTTTATTAAATATCTTCTTATGAATTGGAGAAGGAAGATCTGACTGAGACATAAAATGAACATTTATTTTCTTTGGTTAATAACATAAAATAGTAGAGCAGAATATGTTTTTTTCCTTGTACTGCATTTCTATACTGAACTCAGCAAAGTGAATTAATAATGTTATGGACCAAATTATGTCCCCCCAAATTTCATATGTTGAGGTCCTATCCAGCGTACCTCAGAGTGTGACCCTCTTTGAACTGAGTCTTTACAGAGGTAATTAAGTTAAAATGAAGTCATTAGGGCGGGGCCCACTCCAATGTCGCAGATGTCCTTATAAGAGAAATTTGAACATAGACAGGGACAGATGAAGATACAGAAAGAAGACAGCCAAGGGGAGAGAGACCTGGGATGATTTTTCCTTTAAGGCCTTCAGAAGAAACCAATCCTGCGAACACCCTGACTTTGCACTTCTAGCCTTCAGAACTCTTAGAAAATAAATTTCTGTTGTTGAAGCCACCAGTTTGTGATGATACCAAGCTCCAGTTTGTTATGGCAGCCCTAGCAAACTAATACAAATATACAGACTAAAAGCCAGAGGACTCCAGGCGAAGACAGCGAATCCAGGTTAGAGGACCCTGGAGGAAACGCTGAGCTGGGCACAGACACACATGTGATGACTAATCTGATCTATGGTCACTGCCTAGGGAAGGGAGAAAACTCTTAGGACCTAATACACATCGGAAGCTCTGAGCTTCGAAGTTTTAAGCACTTTTATCATACTTCAAATCTATTAAATAATGTGATGCCTCTGGTATAGAAATCAAGACTCATGTGTTATTTAGTTTTTTAGCTTTTTTTTTTTTTTTTTCATAACAAAGAGAAGTTTAAAATGTAAAATTTCAGTGTTAAGGGTAGTGGAAGAGGAGGGCTTATCAGAGCAGACTGTAAAGGAAATATTTGCCTGACTGGGCCACGGCTGCAATGGACCTGCTTCTCGCCTCTCACACGCGTTGTGTCAGTTGCTTTTCTCTGCTTTCATTCTCACCCGTGGAGGAACGCTGGTGTTCCCTGGAGCCTCTCCCTTCACACACTCTCTTCCCCACCCTGGTGATGTCACCCTCTCTCGTGGTTTCAAATATCATCTAAATGGGCTTGGGCTCCTGTTGTCCCTCAAACTTGAATTTCCATCCTGGCTTTGTCCATCGTTTTCCAGTGGGTTACCTTGGAAAAGTTGCTTAGTTTCTCTGAGGTCTGAGTTTCTTTAGATAATAATAACCAAAGAAATAATGTGAAGAAAGAAAGAAAGAAAGAGAGATGGGGGGGAGGGAGGGAAGGAGAGAGGGAGGGAGGGAGAGAGAGAGAGAGAGAGACAGAGACAGAGAGACAGAGAGACAGAGAGCGAGAAGAAAGACAGGAAGAAAGGGAGAAACAACATCAAAGAAAGAAAGAAAGAAAGAAAGAAAGAAAGAAAGAAAGAAAGAAAGAAAGAAACTATATCTAGGTGATAACCGCATCACCATCACAAGGTGTCATGGAGATTTAGTGAGAAATTACCTGTAAGCTCTTAGTACAGGCTGGGACCAGAACAAATTTCCAATAAATGAGAGCTAAGATCAAAATAACAGCAATACAACAAACCAGCATATGGGGCTTACTATGTGCCAAGTACTAATCTAAAAGCCTTACATATATACCAGCTCATTTAATTCTCACAACAGATGAGAAAACTAAGGCACAGAGAAGTCATGTAACTTGCCCAAGCTCACATGGTCAGCAAATGATGGACCTAGAAACCAAACTCAGGTAATCTGGCTCCAGAAACCACCTTCTCAAAGTATCAGGCATGCTACGTCTCTCTGACTACTAATATTCATTATTAATGACACAGCCCTACACTCTCTTTCGAGCTTTTAAATCATATGACTTAAAAAAACAATAATAAAAAATTGTCTAGATACCCCATAGGCACCACAGATACAACATACTCAAACTAATCCCCCAAAGCTGCACTCCACCCACACCCCTTCTCAGCAGTATATGACAACACTCAAGCAGGAACCTGGTATCACAGTAGGTTGCTTGTTTTCCCTTGACCCTCTTACATCCAAGCAATCTATTGATTTCTAATTCTGTCCTCTTCTCCCCTTTTCTAATACTCCCCTAGTTCAAGACTTCATCTCTGCTCTAGGTAATAGCAACAGCCTTTATAACTGGTTTGCTCGCCTCCAGACCTCAAAGACCTTGTCTGTCTACAACTCATCTTCTTCAGAGATTTAAATACAAATCTGCCCACCTGCAATTCTGCCTAAAAGACTAATTGTGGTTTCATTAGCATAGCCCAGAGGACTGTTTATGTGTAGCACCTGTCTCCCTTTCCAGCCCCCTCAGCTGCCACCTCCTACCAAGTCCCACTCCCCGCTCCCACTTCAGGAATCCCCAGATGCTCTCTCTCCCTTTCCCCCCAAGCCCCCCAACACACATCATGATGTTTCAGAACAAATATATTAGAGTCTACATTTTGAAAAATTATTCAGCTTATCTACGAAGAATACATGAAATCGTCACAGGGAAGCTGTGATCACTTACTTTCCCATCCATTTCCCTCGCTACCAAAATACCCACAAAATTAAATTTGTTACTTGAAGAAAAAAAAAGTCACCTTTAAAACAGTTTTATAAGCAAAAATTTTAAAAAGTCACCTCTCAAAGATATATAAATTCCAAAACACAGATCAGTAACATTATTTATATATTCTATTTTTAGAATCTTAATACCCCATTTAAAAAATGAAATATAAGCAGATTGATTTTCTTCTGGTGACACAATGGGCTGGCATGTGACTAGTTACCATTTCTGTTTGCTGAAGCCAAAAGGCTTCCAGGACATAGAGATGTTATTGTCGGAGAAGCCCAGGGAGTTGACACCGTTCCCCTACTGCCCTCTGCCGCTGTAAATGTAAAGTTCACCATCAGTGTCATGAAGGAAGCCCCAGAAAGGTCAGTCAGGATGATGCAAACTTCCAGTAGTCTATCTATGCTTTCTCTTTCTTTGAACACCAGTTTCTCCTT